CAGTAGCTTCTCATACAGGATCAAGGCCTTCTCTTTGATGAGGAAACATATTGCGGTGCTCCCTGTAACCAGGAGCATTGCATCAATTGGTGTTGATTTTATCCCCCCAGTAATTAGTCGTAAGGCCTGGTTGGGCGTTTTCTCGAGTTGTTTGAGAATCACCACTGTAGCCGTAATAAGTGGCTCACAGCCATGCAACATTATTGGCTGAACAAACATCTTGTAAGTTGTGTCGAGAGTTGAGCGTGCACAGCCCCATACGCTACCAGCAAGTCGCTTCAGTACATTCAGTCTATTAGAGACCCGTTCTGCTACTTTAGCAGTGTGACTTTTCAGGTTAGCTTGGTGTCAAACGTCACTGCGAGATAAGTAAACTCGTTTTTTATATAGAGAGATATCCTTGCATACTAAATGCAGATTTATGCTGTGGTGTGCCAATGAAAATGTTTGAAATGCAGTTTTCGCGGTGTTGATAGCCATTCCATTGTCGTCGCACCAGTTTACTAGTAGTTTAAGTGCATAATTTATGGCACTTTCCGTCCCCTCTTGAGCGTTTTTCTCAGGGGCGGAATACCATAGAACGAGATCATCTGCATAAAGCAAACACTTGATGCCCGTGGGCGTTGAAAAGAGAGCAGCTTGTGACAGCTCCCTGTGCTGGCCTGTTCGTAAAAGATTAGATTTGAGCAGATCGTTTATAATTACCAATCATGCTTAAGGTGATTGGCGTACGCTGCGTCAGCCAATCATGAGCATATTTTCCATTCACAGTTTACCTCATTGCCCAATGTAAATAATCGATTATGTCTTTATTATAGTAATCCCAGGACTTGACCAGTCACAGCATCAACGATACTTAATAAATGAGAAAAGCCAGTTCCTATACAAGATATGTTCACAACAAATATTCACATTCAGTATTTACAAATAAGCAAGCAAAATAAATCACAATCATATCGCCGCTTCTTCTGCAGCATTAATACTCATATGCTCAACTTGTCCAGGTAAGTCCGAAGTGGTAGGATTCTCATTCTTTACATTGCTCACATTCTGCTCAGTTTGATGAACTTCTTGTAGTGGCGGTTCACTAGATTTTTCCTCAGCCGGTTGGGTCTCCTGTTGAAGTTGCTGTTGTCTCTTAGCTGCTTCAGCTGCTTGTCTCATCTGTTCTTCAATGCGCCTGAGGTTGCGATCTTCTTGAAGTATCTTATCCAGACGCGCAACCCGCCTCTCACGAACTGGCCTAGCAGAACTACCGAGTGGACGTTGGGCTTGGGGCAATGATGAAGAAGACAGCGTCTCTGTATCAAAGTCAAACTCGGTAAAATCGGGCTGATTCTCGGGGGGATTAGACAGTGCGTCATTCTTCTTTTCAGAGGCCTCATTGCCAACCGCATTCCCTCCTTCATTCTTTTGTTCTGCTTCTAAAATAGAAAGAGAAACATACTAGACAATCAGCCTTCATCGAATGCCTCCCTGAAGAATGGTTTTTTTTTGAGGAGCAAATCCAACCGACATCTTAAGAAAGTTACTGAGGGCGGACAAAATGCAATTTGGGGAGATCAGATATGAACCTAAAAACACCTCTACATAGGTCCACTCCTCTTTGTTCTTACAACTTAATTGATACATCATTTTGGCAGCGGTCAATAGCACTAAGGCCTCGGGGCCTCGCCTTGGTCATAGAGTAGAAACAAACAACGAGGAACGGGAAAGTGATATTGAGCGCTTGCACAGGACCACCTAATATGTTGTGTTTACTACTTCTAAATAAAAAAGTAATATTAATTTACCTTGCTGTATTCATACGAAATCTCTTTAATCATGCGCAACCTGCATAATCACCTACTAGGTGTTAACCATGGCATTATGTTGAAATGATTTTCAAGTTAAAAAAGTGGTACTATTTTTGTTAAAAATTCATATAAACAAACTTAAGGAAGCCCTGTTAGCTTAAAATAACAATAATCCTCTTATCTTTCGACCATGACTCAACTAAGATTAGAATAGGAGCATCCATAGAAAGTATCCATCTTCTTATTGTTTGTCCTGGGATTTTATGACATATTCTAAGAAGTATTCTATGAACATGGTTAGTTAGTTCAGAACTGGACCAAAACAATAATTGATAATGCAGAGATTTACTAGGTCAAATAAATGGTGACAAATTTCCCTAGTGATCCCTAAAAGAAGATCGTAAAAAGAAAGAGTAAGTGTGAAGGAATGCCAGCTTAATCTGAGGATTTGGGGACTTAGATGAAATAGAGTACATCTGATTCCGTGACTCCCACTTGTAGTAGAACTACGCCCTCCTAACGAAATTTAACGGACTAGATGCCTGTAAAGCTACGTTACACTGACACGGAAAATGAATTCTATTTAACGACGAACACAGAAAAAGGGGAATAAAACCTATTCAAGTGCCGATTGCGCATAGAACCAGATGTATTTTATCAGAAGATGGATATCTCCGTGATTATAATTCTTCGACGGGGTGTGTGATAGACTTACCTCCAAGTGGTGCACCCAGGGCAACGTATACTCATACGGCATACAAGTCAATTAACCGGCAGTCAACTTCAGACTCCAAACTACCATCACCCCACTGTATGCCAAATTCGACTACTTCAACCGTACTCACCTCACCTTTTTTCCAATTTTGTGTCTGTCTCTTTTACATCTTTGAAACTCTTTTCTATTCCGCATCTCCCTCTCGACTTATTTCACTTTGATGTTCCTCCCCCTCTGTGTAGCCTGAAGTCAACTAAAGGGCTATCGATAACTATCAGATCGCCTGCCATTTTTATAAATCTTTAAATTCATAATTTGTTGATAAAAGAAATTTATTTCTTTGTTTATTTATATCAGTATGGTTGATCAGGTGCCTGCCGGAATAAACGCTAGTGGAATGAATTAGAAAAACATAATTTTTTTATCAATAAACCTCAGTATTTATTATTTAAATTCGAACTTTTTCAACGCTCTGGTTACTGTCTCAAAAGTTGGAATTGTAAATGAAAATAGCTAGCAATATTTTTAAAATGCAGTGTTTTTCTTTAGTTGAAAAACTTGTCTAAATTAGGAAAAACTGACAAAATTCATGTATGCTGAAAAGGTATTAAGAGAGGTATACATTTGCAGCCAAGACAATCTTTTCTTTGCACAAATTTTCGAGTATTCTCTACCTTAGGATGCAATTTCCCTCAATACTCATTTGTCAATTAATCAAGACCATTAATATAGAGCTATATACCTACTGGTAAAAAGCGTATCACTATTAGCAATAATTGTTTGCAAATGAATTACATATATCATGTCAGTGACAAATAGGAAGGTGAAAGTTTCCAAAATTAACTTAATTGAGTTTATCCTGAAGTCGGGACTTGAAAGGCTACTTAATCATGCGTCAAAATGACTATTTGAAATTTCGATTGCACTGGCAGTTAGGTTATAACTTTCACATATGCTAAATCAGACGACCAATTCTAATTATTGCATGATTAAGCGAAGTCTTAATTTTCTCTTGGGTACGACAGATCGAAAAATTTCCGCTAATGGGTAAGAAGAGAATGATTAATATAATGAACTGTTACTTTTGGATATAACCCTCTTTTAGAAAATGATGTTTGAGAAAAATCATAGTGGAAATTAATATCCTAACATGGGAAGAGTTAAAGACGAGGTTGCTTGATGTGGTAAGCTAAAAAATCAACCCAATTTTACAAAGCTTTGCACAAACTTGATCGCAATTTTATATTTCTACTTATTATGATTGAGTAGTGACATTGGTCAAAAACCAATTTGAAAAGGAGTAAATTTTTACCCAACATAATTTAGAGGAAATAAAAACTCTCTGCGCTTAAGCAAAAGTTTGTACAGGAATTTCATTTATATAAAAAACTATCCATCCAGTCATATATATATGTATATATATAAAACGGGTGTGCGATAGACTTACCTCCACGTGGTGCACCCTGGGCAACGTATACGCATACGACTAAAAGTCTATTGATCAGCGGTTAGCTTCTGACTTCTAACTACCATGGCCCAACTGTATGTCATATTCGACCCCTTTCACAGTACTCACCTTATTGTATGTCATATTCGACTACTTTCACAGTACTCACCTCAACTGTATGTCATATTCGACCCCTTTCACAGTACTCACCTTACCCTAATCTCTGTCATTGCGGCTATCACTTTTACATCTGCAAATCACTCTTCGGCCCCCCTCTTGAATTTTTCTCACTTTGATGTTCCTCCCCTCTGTGATGTTCGAAGTCAGCTAAGGGCTAATGATAACTATCAAATCGCCTGCCATTTGAAATAGATATATCTTTAAAATATAATTGCGTTTTGAAAATGTAAATATTTATTGAACTCTCATATTAATAAATTGAAAGGAATTAGCTCACGCCTGTAAGTCAAAACAATTTATTTTGTATGTGTGTTCAGGTTTCATATTCAATAAATGTAGAAGCCAAATTTCTCTTCAAGTGGCAGAAATAGATTTCCTTGCTAGTGTTTGCAAAGTTCACACATAAATGAAATAAATTGGGCAATTAAATTTGCCTACACTGCCAAGCGATTTTGAGTCAAAGTGTGAGATATTTTAGCCTAAACTTTTGATGGCTCGAGGTTTTGAAGCATTAGTATTAAATTAGATCATATGATTTGCAAAATTTCACCCAATGCCAAAAAATAGCACTGCTTTTAACCCTTATTACCTCTCATAATACAGAGTCATATTGTATGTTTCATTATAATAATTTAAGTTACCAAATTTATGCTTTTAATACTGGTTATGTAGCTCAAAGAATATACTATTGGCTACTCTATACATGCTAAACATAATTGATACTTGCCAGATATGAATACACGTTATCATGCATCAGTATTACTAAAAATTGAAATCCCAGAAGAAGTTCACTTTTTATTATGACCAACGACAAAAAAATTGTTAATTCTATAAAGTATCGAAAGCCAATTAACAGATTAACCAATATATGATAAAGCTGAGCGGATAAATGAGCTTGTCGTAGGATTTCCCAAATTACATAGAGTACTTTTTAAGTTAATTTCAATCCCTCGATTATGTCATATTCAATTAATTAAAAGTTTATTATTATTATATCAAATGGCAGGCGTTTTGATTGTTATCATTAGCCCTTTAATTGACTTCAGTCTTCACAGAGGGGTAGGAACATCAAAGTGTAAAAAATTTAAGAGGGGGGGGGGGGGAACAGAAGAGTGTATCAAAGACGAAGGTAGATAAGGTGGAAAAAGGTGGGATGAGTACTGTGAAAGTAGTCGAGTATGAAATACAGTGGGGTCATGGTAGTTTGAAGTCAACTGCCAGTTAATAGAATTTTTTTTGCCGTATGAGTATACGTTGCCCACTGTGCACCACGTGGAGCTAAGTCTATCACACACCCCATAAATTGAAAGTCATCGTCCTGGAATATAACTTTCACCACTTTTAGCCTAGATTCCAGTAGATGCGTGACTACGATTTTCAATGTCTCTTTGCCTTTTTAATCAATTAAGGAAGGGCGGCGTGGGGGTTTGGGTGGGGTCCGACAGGTTTTAAATTGCAGAGACAAAATAATTCCAATTTACATTCATCTGTCCTAGTTTTTCAAATGCTAACACGATTATGAACATTTCGGTTCCAGTATTTCTTCGGATAAATTCATGCAGAGTTTATTTTATGAATTGCTTGGATTATAATTTTTTGCCCTTGAAAAGACCTATTACGAAATCAATTTGGGTCAATTTTTCGACAATTTAGTATGTTTTATATGCTTATATTTTAGATAGAACGTTTATAGATAGAAAAGCTTCTAATTGACAGGTTTTTGTTTAAATGCGCTTCATTTCGTTTCAATATATTTATGTAACAATTGACCAAACTAAGCTTATCAACAAATACATTAATTTTACTATATATACATATTATCTAATTCAACGGTCTTAACAAGAAGCTGGAATTCCATGACAAAGCTTGCGTTAAGGTCATCAGACCTGAAACCCATTAAGTTGCAGATCATTCTACCAACTTAGCAATATTATACCCTTTTCCCGAATCCACTGGCCCTTGCTCTCAAATGTCCTATGGCAAAGCGATTCCCAGATTGGCGCTAAATCTTTACTTGTACTTCGTCTATATCCTTGTTGCGTTTATCTCTGTTTGATTAAAAGTTTCACATTCTCCTCAAAGTGGTATTATTACTACATACTTTACCTCTTGAATCTGCTCCGTCCGTATTTGGCAATCTTCGTGCTATGCTGTCTTATTAACAGTTCCCCAAGAATAAAGAGATCTTTTAAAATTTAAATGTACTTTCACTGGTACATGAGCATGTTGGTATTGCTTAGTGGAACAGATTGGGAGTAAGTGGGACTCATAGAAAGTTTAAAATAAAAGATTCACCTTTTAATTTTATTATAATTTAACATATGTACTTTGATAAGGGGGAGGGGGGGGGTCCTTCATGAGTAATTTCTTTTTGATCTAACGCAACGATCCACCCTTAATAAATTTATATCACTCGTTATATTTTTCTCAAAGTACCTTTTTACAACAGTGTTGATAATGGGGTGAAATAGCATGTTCAATCGATAAAATTGAATCTACATTAATAATTTTTCTAATTAAAATTCTACTTGCTTTTTTGATTTCCCACGGTTTCACTAATAAATGGAAATGATTCTCTTAAATGTCACTAAACATAATGGAACTTCCTGAACAAGTATTTCCATTTGCTCTCCAATATGACATTTAATTACTAAGAACGACCGTGTTGATATAACCGACAAGAAAGTGTGAATATGAGTTTCAAATAATGCTTTATGAGATTTTATTTATAATATTGAAAGATCAATATTTTAGACATTGATCACGAAATTTTAAAAACCGAAGGAATTAAAATGTTCAGACAAAATATCAACTGACAAAGTCCTCGGTTGTGAGTTCGGTTTGAGAATCACATGAACCTGAGTCGTCTGGAGTTCCACTGTCTGAAGACAGGAGAAAACCCCCATCTCTGGTACTCTGACGGTTTTATAGAACAAACTGCAAATTATATCTTGATTTTGACAATTAACCACGAATTTCTAAGAATTCATTAAAATGCCTTTCACTTGAAGATAGTAATCGCAAAATAAAATTTTTTTTGGACACAAATAAAAACTTATAGTTTGAATAAAATATTTGCAATTCCTTCCAGTTCCATTTTTAATTTTAAATGTTTAGTTCCACTCTGTCTACTTCTCTTCGGTTTTAAGCCAACTCTCGCTAGTTTAATCGGTTAACTGCGGAAGATTTATATGCTCCAATTCCGTCAGGTGTCAAAATTACCTTAGCGTATTGATTAGTCAATATACTGCAGAGTTTACTGCAATATAAAGATGAGCAAGTTTATTTGCTTCCACTAATACACCTCGGACTTTTGGATATGAACTTTAATACTAAATTCAATAAAACAGCAAATATCTGCATTTCTGATTAATGTGCTAATTGATTTTAGAAGAATATAGTAGGCAGGCAGTTGATTTGCTATTTTAAATGATAGTTAACATAGTTTGCTTCATGAATAGACGCAAAATGCCAACTATTCCCTTTCAATTCTGCCACAAATGACAATAAAATGAATCGGGGTAATTTTAAATTCCACTTTATGGATTTTATCTGCTAAAACATTTTATGCATTCAAATTTTCGAGTCTAGTCTTATGGGAGTTCCTTTGTGAACTGATAACTAACTAATGTTTTCATCATAGTCCTGTTCTTTCACGTTATTTTCGTTTAACCTCGCTGATTATTTGAGGCATAAATTTTGGCCTTTTGTGAATTCTCCGTAAAATTTGCTAATAAAAAGAAAAAATCCTCTTGGAATATGAACGAATTGGCCTTACGGAATACAATTTATATTCCCTATCCCAGTTAAAATGAAAATATAACTAAATATGTATAAATGTATAGCAACGAAAGGAGAAAAAACATAAGGAGCTAAATGTTCTTGGAAGTCGAGATAATTGACTCTTTTTCTTTTTTTAAATTCTTTGCAGAAGGGACTTCGAAAGTGGGGTTTTGGAGAAGGGGTGAGAAATATCCTACGGTAAGTATGTTCTTCTGCTCATGCTCCTTTGAAAATGAGGAAATTGAGTCCTTTCAATTCGAATCCAATTAAATGTCGAGGAACGTATGCAAAAGACCTATAATATAATAGCATTTATTAACTCAACTTGGACAATATTTCATTAGTTAAACCAGCTTTGTCCTGCATTCTGTGACCAGCAGATTAAAAAGCCATCAAACTTAAATAGTAATAAGAATGGATTTTGAAATCGTTGCTACCTCGTATAAAAGTAATGGTTTCAATTGCACACTAATGTATTACATTCACGTTTAAATTAAATTATAATGTCGTTTTGAAATAGAAAAGCTAGTTGTGAAAGTATTTATTATCTTGTAGTGTGATTAAATATAATTCTAATTAAAATAAAATAAACGTCAATTATGCTCAAGCATGATTTTATTTGTGCAGTGCAGTGAATTGAAAATCTTAGACATTACATGATTTTTTTCCAAAATCTCCTTTGAAAATGAAGTACTTTAAGTAAATTTAATTAAGTACACCTCGAAGATTGGAACAAAACGTAAATTTTTAAATGTGAAAATTGACAGTATTTCATGTTTTATTATAAAATGATATAGATATTACATATAGTTAGGTAAATTAATAATTAATAACAATAAATTTCAAATCTTATAATATAAAATTTATTTGTAAATCTGGTTAAATGTTACTTAATGGAAGAGGCTTCAGTTCTATTAATTATTTGTTTAAATCACGGTTAGGCAAAATCAACTCAATTAATTTTATAAATTTAAGAACAAATAATCTAAATAATATATTATATTCTGCACTTTTGCTATTTTAATTCACTGTTAACTTTTATTATTTGTGACAGCATACAATTGAACGGAAAATTAACCATTTTGAGTTGAAAGGAAGAGAATATGTTGTTATGCATACAATTAATAATTATTGTTTAACGTATGATCTTTTTCTATACTCTATTTTTTGCTGTAGAGACTGGTTAAATTAATTCAGAAAACCTACCCATAATATTCTCTAGATACGAAACAATCCCAGGAAGGTCCATATCTCTCATTGCATCTTTCTCGAATAAACCGGCACATGTTCTTTGGATGCCATCCATTATTCAGACATTCAACCACCTGTTCAATAATGAACTCCTTCATTTTTCTTGACATATCCGCAGTGGAAATGTTAATATCGTAGACCCTTCCTGAATGTCGACCTCTGTTGTATCGGCTTGCCATTTCAATGTCAGCTTAATTCCGTGTATGCGTTAAGTGAGGGTAAAAATAGCTACTTTGCTTTGCAATGAAGCCTTAAGTAACTGCTCTCAGAATCCGACTGAAATTCCATCCTTCGAATCAGTATGATGACATTTTTAAATCACGAGTCATAATTGAGGTACGCTCACAAAGAAACGCACGCTCATGTGAGCCCCAAGTTATCGCATTTCATCTCAGCACTAGCTCAGATTTTTGTAATGTTTTCTATGAAATCGATCGGAATGTGAAAAACTTCTCTTGAGAGATGAAAGACACTGCAGTGTGAGGAACCCAATAATGTATCATGCTGAATTCAGAAAAAGATATTTTCCAAATATATTAATAGTTTGAGCTAAATTAAGCAAAATAATTTGTTTTTGTTTTTTTCAGAATTGTGGTAAAGATGCACCCACACGCACCATTTTTCACTAAGGGATACTAGGCTGATAAAGGAAGAAAACAACAAAAATTGATAATTTGACCTAATTATTCACCCACAGCAGATTTCCACGAAAATCTTCTGCCGAAAAGGTGTTATTTTTGGCAGTCGATTCAGGCTTCGTAACATCAGTTTATTGAATGTGTTAGCCTCTCTCATGAAGGTGGCAATAAATAGAGACCCTTGCTACTACTAGACTCACCGAAAAGACTCGCAGAAATTAACGGGCAAAAAGTAAAAGGCTTTGAGTGAGTGAAACATGCTATTAAAAGCATAAACTATCCGGTTCCTTTTAGGTTGAGAGTATTAGTATTAAGTTTAAAAGAGAATATGAGATGTTCTGGCTAGCATACAGTCCAAAGGGTACTAGAGTATACATTGGGAGTTGTCACTGTCCTGTCACTGCAATAAAACCCAACCGGTTAATCGAATGAATTAAAGTGGCTATTGGAATCCTTCCCGGAGAAAGTGTAAAAGCACCCAGTTCTGATTTCCATGGCTTGAACTCGTAACGAAATAAGACTATTTTGGGCATTAATTAGTAAAATCCTAAGTAGAAATAGCTAAGAATGGCGAAAATTCTCTTGTCCATTGAAGGCCCTTTAAATCTATTAAATTTTGCTTTTACCAACCACTTGTACTTCTCCCAATGGGATTGTCAAATTGTTCCTCTTGCCCTATATGATTTTTTCCTTAGACAATTTATAATAACATTAAGTATAACAATGACATGTACAATAATATATATATATATATATATTGATATTTAAAATAAATATCAAAAATAAAAAAATGTATGCATTTTTATACATAACAGAATATAGTACTATTTTATTACATATTTGCTCAAGAAAAGGAAATGCATAGCAAAGAGAATCATGTAATTTCAATCTGGGGACAAAAGAGGTTTCACTCTATTACCTGAAATTTCGTTGCCTAAATTTGAGGAGGATCATGTTAAAAAGCTTAAATTCGTGAAAACGGTAATATCTGTGGACAGAATTGGCAAGGGCATCGGTGAAACCTGTTTCATCGAGGGATGGCATAATTTATGTGCTTCACCTAGGACCGTCCTCTCCCCCTCCACCCACCCCCATGAACAGCTCAATGAACAATTATCTTATTGTATCTTGTATTTCAGATCGAATGGAGTAACATGGCAATTGAAATCTACTGAATATTTGCATGAGTAGTACAATGAGGGTTCTTCAAAGGAGTTAGCTTGAGTTAAACGTTATGGACACTTTTGTGCTCAAAGCGTATCGTTTATTACTTTATTGTCGTCTCTATGTAAAAAAAATACTAAATGTGTAGTCTAATTAAATGAAATTTCTTTTCTATAGATTTTAGTATATGACGTTAGTCCAGCATCGTATTTAATTAAGCGTACTAAGACTTTACCTTGCCTACACTATCAATACAATTTCAGCATAACCACGAATCACGATGATTTTCTTTTTAAAAAATTTTAGACTTTCTAAATTAGGATCTAAATTTCTGCTAATGCCAAATTCAAAGTTACCGGCAGGAAAATACTGTCAAGAACAGCTCAACTGAAGAATACATTAAGCGTATTATTCGAAAACTATCAAAATTTTATAGACTAATAACAATTTTTCGTAAAAAAGAATTTTACTCGCATCTTCAAATTAGACGAGCAGCAGAAATGAAACTGAGCCAAGAATTTTGGAATTAGGAGAACTAAGAATATGGCTTTTCAGTGAATAAGTGAAATTGAGGTCATAATGCGTAGGACAATTACTCCTCACAGAGTGGAGAGGACTATTTTGACCCCTTTGCTAGTCTTATGAGCAACTATTTACCAGAAAGTTGAAACAGATCAGATCGGTATATCAACATGCGTGTTTTCATGCTAGCCTGATTGAAAATTGTAAGAAACACGTTAGGGGTCGATGTTATTAAGGCAGAACATGTGACACTCAGTAATAGGCCATTCAATTAAGCTGGCAAAATCTATAAAGCTAAAAACGATGAAAGATATTACTGTTAACAATGCAAGTAGTGTAATTTTAAAAATATAAATTTTTCAAGCAATTAGGTAGGGTTGAATTTTTTATCCTTAAATTAATCCATTTTTTTATTTCGTGTCAACAACTCCTTGCTTATGCTTAATAAATGACAAGTGGGTTCCAAATACTAATCTTTAAGATAGTCTTGACTTCACAATTTTTTCAAAACGCATGTTGCTCCTCCAATGCGATTGAGAAGAATCCGGGTAACAAGCGTCGAAGTTGGTAAGTTTCACTTTTGTCTCGAAATGATCACTTCTCATTAGTTGTTTCTCCCAACTTGACAGTTATAGGCAAATTTTATTTGTCATCAATCAATTACCACTTCAGAAACCCCGACTTTAATCAGCAGTTCTTTATTAATACGCTTCTTAAAGAAAGCAAGAAGTGAAATGAGCTGTTTTAAAGTCTTTGAAATATCTGGGAGTTGGAAATGAGGACCATGAAGCAAAAAGATACTAAATAGAGACATGACTCGACCCTTTTGTCTCAATAAGCATAGATCCCCATTTAACTCTACTGCCATTCCATTGGTCTACAAACTGCGTGTTAGTGAGTTTGTTAGTGTGAGCAAACTTCCTAATATGCCCTTTGCCTTCGTATACAGTCTTTGTTGAGTTGATTTCGTGTCTTGAGTAGTCGCGTTTTGATCCTACCTATCACTTCGATTTGGAACCCATTCCTGCCTAAATATATCTTATGAACAAGACTGAGAGTAACATTAAAACTCTCTAAAACGTACCTAACTGTATATTACAACTTTCGTATTATTTTGTTATTAGCTTTCTTTGAAAAATCCACACTTTTGAGGGTTTGATACAAGCATTTCACAAATTCTCTGTGAAATTTCTCAAAAAATGTTGACGTTTTTAAATGAAGAACATCTAAGATCAATCGAACTAACGTAACGCAGGTTTAGCTGTTGTTCTTGGTGTATATATTTTCAAGGAACTGGTTCCTGGGTTAACCAAAGCCAGGCAAGCAAGATTGAGTGCTTTACCAAAGTTCCTTCCCAAATCTCTTTTTTGTCCCTATAGGGAGCGAATAAGACTACTTTAAAATAATAGAAATATGACGGAGAAGTGAATTAGAATTATAAGCTCAAACTCTCAATGTTTCTAATGATGATAAATATGTACATAAATTATTTCTGGAATGATCCGAATGCCAAATAATGGTTGAAAACCACATATTAATGAATAAATTTTGAATGTGGAAGACGTGGAGGAAGATGTAAAACTCCTGAAGCACGTTCTCCCTCTCCATTTAACGACAATTTCATTGAAGCAAATTGATTTGCGGTATTTTCCCTGTATTAGGAGGATTCTCACGATGAAATAATGAGCTTTTTAGCCCTCTTGCAGTTGTAATGTCACCAACACTACCAAATTTGCAATTAAATTCCTTGGAAAAGAACGCTAATGTGTAAATAATATCGAAATTAGATATGCTGGGGAAACATGTAAACTTGGCACAGCTGCATTTAGTCCAATGTTTTTACCCCATCTAACCACTTTAGGTACTTTCTGTGTGATTAATTACATGAGAGTATTCTACTTGAGAGTATTTCTGACACGAGCATTGTGTTTCCTATTGTTGCATAAATAAGAATCGTTACTTTTAATCCATCGTTGATCTGACGAAAATTTTTCACAAATGGATTCTCTTATGTCAATTATCGTCGAAAGGAGAGGTCGTGGGAAGTCTAAAAAATAGACACTTTTGCATACAAAAGCTTGCTTATTACCTTAGTGGGGTTTTTAGTTCATTTATTTAGAAAAGAAAGCTGTAAATTGTTTTACTGGAGGTATTTCAATGAAATTATGAAAGCAATTTTGGAAATTTACGATACAATGCCATCTTAAACTACTATCAGGTAAGAATTTGTTGACTTAAAACCAAAAAATTCCAAAAAAATATTAATTTTTATATGTGACCAAAAATTTTGAACATTAATAAATAAATAATGTAATTAGAATGTTATATCTCATCATGGTCAACAAGGTTTCATTATTGTTTTTCTAGTTAACCTTTCTAAGCTACGGCAATAATAGATGGGTGGCCAAATCGAAACCGATTCGCTACCCAAAAATTCTAAATATTAACGATCTATATTTTCACCTCTTCAATTGTCCTTTCTTTACTGAGTTTAGACTTGAAATTATTCCCGTTGCGTTAGTGAGCAGCGTTAATTTTCAATTTCTCAACAATACGAATGTTTCGTTACTAAGAGTTCTGTTTCTTTGCGGTTTCAATAATAAAATTACTTATGGAATTTAAGCAATGGCTAACTGATAAGTTGTCGTAATGAGGCTTTGCTCTATATTAGAAATGCAATACTAATTCATCGCTATCAACAGGCAAGTTTCAAATTGTTACCAAATAGATCACAGCATTTGGTTAACTAGGGTCTTTCATTATTGGCTGAACTGCATGATTAATAATATCCCTCTAGATTGAACGAAAAAAATCAACGAGTTATTCAATATTCACTGACCAATCATTCATTATCCCCCCGAACCCGGTTCCATTGTTAAAATTGTTTTCAAGTTAATTCAGTATGTGCAGCGACTTGTTTACTCTGTTTGAGATCCGATCAAGGGTGCTATAATAAGTGTAAAGACAGTTATTGACAGCAAAAGGAAAAATTGTACAGTTTAATTAAAAATGTCCGCTCATGTAACAACATTTTGAAACGAAGATTGAAGTAGAAAATCTTGTGCATATAATTGATCTGGTAGTATATTTCTACCTCCTTCCCATTAATCATACCCCTCTCCGACTTTATTCAGTGTTCCAGTAACACCTAAAAAGTAGCGCTTATTGCTGTCTTGGTTTTTTATTACTATCCAACCTGATTTCGCATACGGCTTTTAACATCTAACACTGGGCGTGTAGCGGGTTGCTGAGATAATAATCCATGACTATACTCAGAAATCTCTATGGCTGATTCTAATATGTTTGGAAATATTCGCAGAATTAGCTAAGCTACCTCAAAGCTAAAGAGGAAACAGAGCATGCTTGCATGTGACGTCTATGTGGTGAGTATATGGACCAGGAGCTAAGTCATTATATTAATATGGCTGGTTTGATAAACCAAACGTGAACTACTGATTGGAGGTTGGTTGCATGTTCTCGGCACTCATGACCTCACTTACTCAATACGCGAAGTCGCACGCCGCACCTTAAAGCCTGTTTGAGCCCGCATGAGACTAATCGTCCAGCGGTGATAACCTTGCGTACACTACAGGTGCGACGATTCTGCCAATAAACGTTGTTCTAAAAATAGAGTACAAATATAAAAATACGAATAGCAGAAATTGTAATGCATAAGTATATCAGACAATTGTAGCTAGTTAATAGCCGGCTTTAGTAAATAACAATTATCGTTATTTCCAAAGCTTCCTCTTCTCCATCTTTAAAAAAGAAAACTCAAGGACGAAGATATATAGATCGAACAAATTTCTTGAGCGAAAGACTTCAATCAATTCTTGGCGATCGGCCTTTAAATAACCCCTTAAAATAGTATATTAATTATGATACACTATGCACATAATTTGATGACGTGAAACTGAGACCCCTTCGGGTTAATTAATAGTAATACCGCTTTCCATGATACCTGTCACTACTCATGTTCAAAAGTGGCAACTCTCGAGATCACCCCCTAATTGTTAATCTGGGTAACGCTACAAAGACAGACTTATTAAGCCCGGAAAGATCAGTTCTCAAAGAAATTAAAACAAAAGGAAACGTTCTTCCTAATTTCGGGTTGAATCCGTAAACATTTTCTCAGTGAAAAAATGGCGTCAACAAAAATGGTAAGGGCAGTGCGCTTTGCAATGAAGACTCAAAACTAATAAGCTAAACAAGAAATCACAATACCTTATTACCTTATTGCTGTGTTATACCATCCCAAGGTATTTTACTACTAACTACTTCATTAATCTCCAAAATGACTATGAAAATTCTACACATGAATTTACTGAGTGTCATTCTAAAGGGCTGCAAATAACGAACCCTAATTTAGAAAGAGATAAAGAACCGATTTGACAATTTTCTCAACTATCATTGTGACTGGAAAACCAAAAGCGTTCGATAGAAATGAAGTCTCTGTCAAAGGTTCTTCTCAATAGTATCTATTATCCAGGGAATTCATACGGGAATTCTAGTTAAGACTGATATAAGTGGGAAACTGCATCTCCAGAATCGCACAACAATATCTTTTAAAGCAAAATGGATTTGGTTATGTTTTGTTGCAGGGACTGAATGGGTAATTTGGAAGTGCCATAAAGAGCGGAAGACAATAAAATTGTAGAATATACCATACTGAAATAAACATTCCTTTAAACGCGGATACTTAATGGATTCTGCCATAAAAAAATTGATTAACTACACAAAGTTCACTATATGCATTTAGAACTGAAAGATAACATAAACTACAGGAGCATAAATAATTCTACAAAAATATAGAATTAAGTGAGGATTGTTTCAACTAAAAGTAAACTATATTAATACAACTAAGGCACAGAATATTGAGTCCCATCTAATATTATTTATTCGGTTTAGATATTTATTTTTTAAATTAATTCATTTTGATTAACTTGAAAGAGAATTTGTTAGATAAGACATAAAAGTCTTTAATTGTAGAGGAATACATTTTTACTCATCAATTGAACAATTACAAAGTGACACAGTGCAACACATAATAAAAATGCTGAGGCAAGAGTTAAAAGCTGATTGGAGACGGCGTATACATAGAAGAAACAGTTTTATGTTCAAGATTTTGGAATTGATTGAATTATTTTAAATTAATTTCTGAGATAGAATTTGTGCAATCCTGTGGTAAAACATAGAAATACACTGACCAATTTTACTAGGCTAATATCTGGAAAGAGATTTATTCTAATCGATGCCAAATTTTTTAAAAGTTTAAAAGCAAAAAATGAATGAGAAAAATTTCTCTCGAATTTCGATAATATTCGCTCATATGTATCCCGGGTGAATACTTTAATTACACTCTTTTGACAAATAATGAACTCGTCCTTCCAAGTTAATTACTGTTATAATACTTGGTGTAAATTAACTTAAGCGGAAGGAATGTATGACTATGCTCATGCCATATATAATTTAATTAATGCTGGCAGGTCTGAATTGGCAACTGAAGATTAACTAAGGCTTTATTTAAGTTGAATTTGGGGGATTTCTTTTTATGTAAGAACTAGTCAAGTATGAATTTGTCATAGAAAAGTAAATTGATTTATGGGTAGGTCCAAAGTCCACAGCAATGGGCTTAGAAAATTTAAAGGTATGATTATTATTTTGACCTCACATGATTGAAAATGAAAAAGCAAATTAAGTAACTAAGTCTCACATGTTGGAAAATTAAAGGTGTATTTTTGAAAGTGTGTTAAATTATATTATTATGGCAAGTTGACCTTAAAGGGAAAGAAAAAATTTAAATACAAAAAAGTTTTAATTAATTATTTAATATAATCAAAATAAACATATTATATTAATAGCTTTTCCCAAAAAAATTGTTATTGTCTAAATGGTTTATCTTGACCATCGTTTGGGCGCCCTCTTGGAAGCTGTCGAAAATGGGAATTGAGATTGAATCAAATAATGCAGAATCTGGAGAAACTTCCGTCCATTTATGGTATTCATACTATTTTACTGCTATAAAATTCTAGGTCAACCATTTTAAAGGAAGTTGCAAACGCTCGTATTGGAAGAATACCCCATGGTAAAGGTATTATTGTCCTTGGGGACAACGGAGCCGGGAAAAGTACACTAATTAGCCGTTTAAGTCACAAAACTGTTCCTCCCAAAACACCTGGCCTTGAATATCACTATATTGATATTCGGGATGAAGCGACAGACGGTACTTCAGCCTTGCTTTCTGACGTTATTTTAGATCAAACTAAGTTGAATGCATGGGTTCTGGATGGTGATCCGCTTTTTGTTCCATTCTTGAAGTTTACTCTGGATAGTAAGAACTTCACTGACCGGGTGGTCGTTATCGTTGCTGACATGGATCGACCATGGAATATAATGGAAGTCTTAGAGAAATGGTCAAAGGTACTTGAGGATTACATTCAGAGCATCGACATTGATGTAGAGGACATGAGGGAATATCAAGATAATTGTAAGCCGATAATTAATTTTAGCACTGCTATTAATCTACGTCAATTACTTTGATGAATAATTTATTAAGTGATACGTCAATTTCAACATTACGTTGAGACGGATGCACTGCATCTACACTCAGCAGCAACTAATGGTAGTCCAATGACTCCCGTAAGGGGTTCTTCAAAGTCGTCAGGTGCCATGGCTACTTCAACTCCCACTCAATCAGGTGCGTCTTCTTCTGGTTTGCATCCTGCCACTGCAGCTCTTCTCGGTTTGGGTGGGCCAAAACAGCAAGAGGATAGCGTTTCTGATGATGCTATTGACGGTGATAAGAATGCAGCTGTGAACAGCGTGGCGTTGAATGGAAAGATATCTAAGCAAATTAGAAATCCATCGGATGTACTGAAAGAACTGCCGATCACTCCTGGTGCTCTTACAAACAATCTCGGTATCCCAATGATAGTTGTGGTTAATAAGGTGAGACATTGAGGCGTGACCATTTTTTACCTTATTGGTGCCTTTCTCATTAGTTTCTGCAATTATTTACGTAATATTTGAATTTTAGTTAAATTGTCTTTACCAATTTTTTAAATTTTATTTATTTATTTATTATCAAATGACAGGCTTTATGGTAGTTATTATTAGCTCTTTAGTTGACTTCGGGCTTCGCAGAATTGAGGAATATCAAAGTCACAAAATGGGGAGAGGGGGAAGAGAAGAGTGAATCACAGAGGTAAAGGGACAGACAGAAAGGCAGAGAAAAGAGTGATGTGAGTACTGTAGAAGTGGCGGAATAAGGCATACACTTTAGTTTGAAGTCAACTTTTTTGCGCGTGAGTATATATTGCCCAGGGTACATTCCTTTTTAATAATGTCTTTTTTTAATGTATAGTAGTGATTCCTTGGTGTGAAAAATGTTAGTTTTGTTCACATATTTTAATTAATGAATATGCTTTCAACATTCCTTTTTTTCTGATGAAATCTGAGTTAACTCATGCCCATAATTTTTGGATATTGTTGATTGGTTGGTTTACAAAAAGGTTGTTAATTTTCTCTACAAAATTTGCATATTCCTACAACTATGAGTGCTTAGATGAAACCCACTTTTTGAATAAAGCGAAATTCGCTAGAGTTCTTTCAAGGGGCTTGGACTCATTGGGTTAAGTTGTAATTTTTGTGGTGGGGGAAAGTTTTACCTTCTGTTGACGTTTGCCACATTTTAAAAGTTTTGATATTAACCCTTCTGTCATGACCATTGGTTATATTTACTTTTAACGTTTGTTTCGGACTTGTTTCACATGCATACTTTTCTGATATTGTGAGTTACAGAACTTTTTTTACACTTCTCGGAAAGAGAGAGAGAGAGATTGAGTGTGGATTTGTAATGGTAGCTATTTTTGGGAAAATTAAAATCTATTGTTAAAGAGTCGGGATAATGCTGTGACTGATCTTATTGAATCATTACTTAACCTATGTTCTAATTCACACATGAAACTAACGTTGCCGATCCTCCTATTGTCGTAATTTTTATAGATAATTGAAGTGTAACAGCGATAACATTCGTTACTAATAAATGAGTAACTTTAATTTTTTGTTCTGTTGTTTTTCATATATTTTGTGTACTGCCTCTTATTCTCCTTTTACCAATGTCAGTTTTTCGTCTATTCGGTTGAAACTTCTTGTACGATCACTTTAAACTTGCTTCTCCGCCTTCAACAGCCCTATTTATTATGAAGGCACAGAATTGAACTCGCCTTCTAATAGGTGCAAAATAAGACGATAACTATTATTTGATGTCTTTTCTAGAATTCAAAATTAGCAATTACCATTGATCTTTTAGACTGATGTTATGGACGACTTGGAGAAAACCAGAGGAATGACGGAAGAACAATTCGATATTATCCAAATGCATATACGTCGGTTCTGCCTTTCATGTAAGTAAATTTCAACTTTAACACCTCCAATTCTACTCTTTGTGGTAATAATGAAAGCCACTTTCTGAAAATGTAGCAGATGCTTATTGTTCATTTGAGAAGAATACGGTTTGGGCGTCAGAGTTATGACATACCTTATCTAATTACTTAGATCGACCGATTTGGTGTAAACACCCCAAGGAATAGGGGAACAATGCTTTGGTTTTGATTAATATATTAGTGCGTGTATTCATATCCATAGTGGTTTTCGTTATCTCAAGATTTGAGCGCACATTTTGCAGGCTGTTACCTCTTACTCTTCTTTTCTAAAAAAGCCTAATTCTCCAATCAATTGCATTTTGATTGTAGTTCCTGCTCTTGTTTGTTGCAATGGCTTAACCCCTTTCCTTTGTGAATATTGTTTTCCCAACATGCACTGAATATTCAAAGTGGTGAAATGGATTTCGACCCGCTCCTCTTTTTCCCTCTTTCCTTACATTTTTTTTCTACAAAAATTGCGTTGATTCGCCCATACATTCACAATGAATAATTTTTTGCTTTACTTCCTCTTAGATGGTGCCTCTTTGATCTATGTCTCCGCAAAGAATGGAAAAAATTGCGGTCTACTGAATAATTATATACAGCATCGTGTTTATGGTTTCCCATTCACGCAAAGCGCTTACGTAATTGACAAGGACAGTGTTTTCATGTGAGTCATTTAGTGGCATGTGTCTCTGTGTGCATGTGTGTGTGTGTGTGTGGGGGGGGGTATGTGTAAATTTTCATTTAAATAATTCGAGCGCTACTCTGGGTGGCATTGTTAATTTATTCAACAATGCACCTATTGATGACCCTCTCGGTATGAGTTTGTTTACCTGAAACACCAACTTTGGAGATGTGTCACTAGTTAACCTTTCCATGGTCTCATAGCAGAGTAGTTTCGGGGCAAACTAGGGATAAATTACTTTGACGATTTTACCATCTCTTTTTATTGGTTTGTCTCAAGTAAATCCCTCGACACTGGTATAAGCCAAACCAGTTCCATATGAGCAGAGTACTACTCTTGCCAACTGGCTGATCCTCCACAGGGTTTTGACAGTGGAATCCTACCTTTTTTTCTTTTTAAGATCCTGACCCCAAATCCTTATCCTGGTTAGCACCTTGTTCTCTTTTCTATTCATGTCGTCAGCTCTTGATTAAATCCAACTCACATGATCTGCGGTTTGTAAACCACTCTTTTTTCCATTTAACTTAGCACTTGTCAATACCACTTAATCAAGATCCTAAGTCTAGCTCATGAATCATTCTGAAGTGGAGCATAATTTTCTGTAATTTTTGCTAAAAAGCACCTTTTTTAATTGCACTATAGGACATTTTCACATTGGGCTTGTTCGGCCTCTTGTCCTATTTATTCCTTGTCGGAAAATAAATTCTCTTATATTCAGCACAATTTATTTATATCAAATGGCAGGCGTTATGATAGTTATCGTTAGCCCTTTAGTGGACTTCAGGCTTCACAGAGGGTAATGAACATCAAAGTGAAAGTCGAGAGGAGGGGTGGGAATAGAAGAGTGTTTCAAAGATGTAAAAGAGATAGACACAAAGGTAGAAAAAAGGTGAGATGAGTACTATGGAAATAGTCGAATATGACATAGAGTGAGGTGATGGTAGTTTGAAGTCAGAAGTCAATTACCGATTGATAGACATTTTTGCCGTATGAGTATACGTTGCTCAGGGTGCACCACGTGGAGGTAAGTCTATCGCACACCCCGCCTATTTTAAGCAAAATTACATTCCTCAAAATGTGTGCCATACCTTTATTTGGTTTTAATTGGGATGAGGCCGGTTAGAATTTTGTTTTTGTGATATTCGATTGTTAATTTAACTTGGGTGGTAGAACACAGCTTGGAAAGAGGGTCTTTCTCGGAAAGGAAATACTTCTCTGGAGCCTGAGTTTCAATTTCTGCCTTTTTGTCCCTAACATCTTCGTTAAACAGGAATAGGTCGTTTCTATTGGCAAAAGTTTCCTAGGTTAATTGGGAACAATTCCGCTAATTTTACTGAATTCTCTTTTAGCTTCGTGGTCGCATGTTTCACGATGCGGATATGGGTTGTTTGATGAGATTTGAAGGCGAATATCTGAAATTACCCGTGTGTAAAGGTTGAGTAGTTTCGCCGATCTGATTTTTAACTTAGCTGAGCTTTTATCTGCTGTAAGCTTATACTTCAACTGCTTGCCATTTTCTACTGCCTTTATACTCTCCTAAGCACTGCACCAAATCACTTTTGACAGTCGCCTTGATTTTGACATATGTCTAAACATAGAGGTAGAGACGAAGAAAGCAAATAACTCAGCCACAATCGTTTCTTTTATTGAAAAAATCTTAATTCCTGATGATTGTCTAATTAAGTAATACCTAGATTGTTATCGAAATCTCAATGTTTGGGATACTCGTGAACTTCAACTTGGTCCGCTGAAAACATTTGCCGATCTACCTGCAAATTGCCAGAAAGAATAGCATATTTGGAGTACTTTACAAACGGACTTTAACTGATCTTTTTGCTCTTTTAGTCCTACTGGTTGGGACAGTTTGAAAAAGATCAGCCTACTTGAACAGAACCTAACCCGATACAAACCTGGAGATGACTACTCTACGGTTGTTCCAAAACCCACTGGACAAACAAGTGTCTTAAATGATGAACCTCATGTTACCTCTATGGACGATCAGGCAAGCCTTTATCATTTGTACTATTTTAATACCTGATTAGCAGTTATAAATATATCTGTGCACATAATGCTTTAGCAATTCTTGAGTCATCTCTATACTGTTCTGCAACGCGATGCTGTGACAAGTGGTGCGGGTGATACAGGAAATGATTCTTCAATTCACGACCAGTCATCAATTCTCGATGGTTCTGGCACGCCCACAAGTCGACCTTCATCTGGTTCAGCTACCCGTGGGCGTGTAAGTTATTTCGTATATTCTTTGCTCTTTATACGCATACTCTGTGATTTCACGTGAATTACTCTTTTGTACAATTGTTCAGGTTACTTGCAGTTACGGTGGATCTATAACATCCGGTAAATGACGTAGAAAGGGACTGCAGATTGTTTTAGACCTCGTTTTTACCTAAATTTTGCCGTGTTTTTGGTGTGAATGGGGTTAGCTTGTTTTGTTTGGTTACCTTTTTACTTCAGGTTTGGGGGTTTTATTTTGGTTTAAAAAATTTTCTAGTATTAATTTGTATTATTTAAATAACTGCAGCACTTATCTTTATTATCTTACGAGTGTTTATTGGGCGAAAAATTGTTGTCTAGTAATTTTTTGAGTCTGGTTTGTATATACTTGCAGGTTCTTAAGGAAATGCTAGTTGATACAGCAATCGATACTTCTTTCCCTTCATTTCGTGACTCTGAACTAATGAATCGCATTTGTTGTCTGTTTCAGGGAGGATATTTTATGTAATCAGCTGATTGTGTGATTAATCCGCTTCTTCGTCACGTAACATTTAACAAATTTTAATGCAAAATGTTTATACTTTAGTCGTTAGAATAAAACTGGTCTTAATAAGAAGAGTAATGCCTGATTTGCTTTGATTTAATTCTTTATTGTGCTATGGTTCCAAGAATTGGTTTGCTGCAATCTTTTCAATTCATTATATCTTTTATTTAGTATTACAGTTAATTAACTACAATCTAATCCCCCTTCATAGTGAATGTGGAAGTCAAGTTCTTCTATAGAACCGATCATTTTGTTCTATATTTAGACTTCGGGAGCAGGTGTTGCCGGTGCGCTTTCAGGCAGTTCGTCGGAGAAAGTACTTGCCAGTTTCTTCAACAATCTCCTCAGCAAAGGTCCATCAGCTCGTCAAGCGCCTTCAATGCCACCCTCCTCCTTGGCCGGACAAGCAGCACCTTCTGAAGTAGCCAACGGTGTGTAGTTCATTTTATGTCGTTTCATTTCATTGATTTTTTACTGATTTATTTTAAGTAGTAGATTTATTTATAAATTGGATTAAGTGGAGTGTAACTACCATTTGGGATTATTCGCTTTCCGCCGAAGGGAATATTTTATTTCAATGTTTATGCAAATTATTGGCCAACTGCCTCAATGAATTTATATCTTCAATGCTTCTGAATCTGCATCAGAAATACTTAGGAATTGCTTCTACAACCCTTGATTTACTCTTGGTTTTTCGTCTTATAGACGTTACGGTTTTTCATATTTATTTGCATTGTGTGCATGCTGGGTAAGCACTAACTTCGTAGGTACGAAGTTCCTCAGCAATTGATTGGACAAATCATGCAATTCTGGAATTTACAAATATTTTTAGTTCCGAATCCAAAGACCTGTTGAACTAAGCTTCTTTTGACTTAAATCTCAAAACCCTTTCTACCTACCCATTAGAATCAATTGCAATCTCTATGAATTCCTGTATTTTTACAGGAATAAAGTAATTTTTGTGGATTGTCATGCCATAATTGCTCTATGGTTATGTGAGATTATTCCAGAATAATAATTGAATTTATGTTGAATATCCCGCAAATAATAGTCGCCGAAGTATATTCCAGCTACTCTTAATTACTTTCTACAGGAGGCAATGATTTATTGCCTAAGTGGAAGGAAATATTTTCACTTCGTGGTCCTTTTAGACCTATGTTGACTTAATTCGATATTTTTTAAGGTCAAAGTGAGGTCTCAAATATGACCGCCAAGGAGATGCAATCCGAGCTAGAACGCCTTGCACGAACATCCAAGGAGGCTTTGGACAAGTCCCAAGGAAATTCGGAGAAATCTCCAGCCACTGGAAAGTCATAAATTTTTCCTCCCTATTTCCACTTGACTTCTCCCCCTCTCTCGCCTCACCTCGGTTTACTATTTGTCATTTCAATTTCGTGATGACGATACTAATTTCTAACCCAATATAGAAAATCGTCTACTTCTCTCATGACGTTTTTACCACTTATATGTAAAGAAGTCGTAAAATCTTGTGGTCCTTTCTCATTGCTATTCGTGTTATTAATCAAACAATCGATTGATGCGCAATTGGCTTAGCGTTTGTGTGTGTGTGTGTGTGTGTGTGTGTGTGTGTGTGTGTGTGTGTGTGTGTGAGAAGAAGAGCCATTGACGAAGTCCACCAGTTTCATGATTTTAACGGTAGCGAATTATTGTAAGAGGCAACTATTTGTAGGACTTGAATTCAAGTTCCTCGGGAAATTAGAAATATTATGTCTAAATGAGGCCTGGTAAATATTCTTGAAAGTCCTGTATTTAAGTCCCTGGACCTAGATAATTCTATTAGGAAAATGTTGTTCTTGCGTCTCCTTGAGAACTCGTACATTGTGCACAGTGGTTTTGCCCCTAAACATCTTTATTAGCGCGGCCACATTTAAGCCAAACTCATCTAAAAAAGCAGTCTTGTTGAACCTATTTCTCTTGGGATTATAGAAGTCCAGAGAAGGTTTCTTGGAAATAACAGTTTAGGCTCCAATTTTTTCAAAATGGTGTTCCTTGGTCTTTCTAAACTTATTCGAGAAAAGTATTCCATTAAGGCATTTGCGTGCTATTTTTGTCCTCGTGCATTTGTTTTTCCTACATGTGCTAGGTCAAACTGATTTTATCAAATAATAGTGAATCGATTTTTTCTGATTTTATTTGACTGTAGTGGTGTTAGTCTGTCTGTTTGGAGATGGTCAATGTGAAAGTCACTTCTTCTGGTTGTGTAGTGAACAGTGTGCTCTATTAAGTTTTAAGGTCAGGAAATCGATATACTATTCAATTCCAGTCTATAAATAGAGTGGAATAAATCAATTTCTCTTTACAGTAGCTCCAGATTAGCCAAATATATTGATGCAAACATTAACACAGATGGAGTCGGTATGTTTGAATTCTCTTGTTACTTTGAGCAATTAAAATGATTTAGTTGTACTAGGCCTTTTTAACGATTAAGGAAACCCTTAAATTTACAGTGTTCAATAGTGTAGCGTTTAACGTGACCAAATATTGGCACGAGATCAATGCCAACTGATTCCCATTTGATGACCGGCCACACTGGTTGGTCTAGTTGGTAAACAGGATGACCACCTGGTACTCACTCTTAGTCACTAGAAGTGTGTCAGATAGTGCCTTCCACATTTGGCTAGCAGAAAAAATAAAGTGAAAAAATGCGCAAGAGAAGATGGCCACTGAAGAAGTAGAACCTCCCAAACAAATGCCGGAAAGTTTTCCGAGGATGAAGTGAGATAAGTAGATATCAAATGCACTTCCACGAGTATATTTCAGTTGCTGATTTATTTGTCACAATTTCTGACAAAAAACTTCAAGTGTAATTGCTTCGCCCGGCTAAAGGAACTCCTCATATACTTTTTCCTTTACATTTCACAAACTGCCTAGAAGAAGTTTCGAAATGTGAGCATTGATTTACCTTTGGAGATGTAATGGGTTTGGATTTAAGGAAAGTCATTCATTCTTTTCCCTAAAGCTGTCATAAACGATTTCCGTTTCGTCCCCAATAGCAATTTTTGTAACATGCAGTATGGTAAAACAAAGAAATAAGTATCTTTCTACATTCACCCGCACTGCTGTACTGAGAGAGTTGATATGACGGCACCCCAATCTCCCATCCCTGTCAATTTACCCACGCGCTTCAAATGAAATTGTACAGTCTGCCTAGAGCATGCAAGTTTCTGCAGTAAGTCTTCTGCAATTTACCGGAGGATTTGATTCAACCAATGATTTTATTACATTTGCATTCTAATTTTGCCTCAGTATTACAATTTATATCTTTTAATACAAAATCGACATTGGTGGAAATTGAGCACTTGACCGTAAATTTCACTGTCTGCTTATTCTGTGGTCTTTCAAAGTCCTGAACAATGAAAAAAGCTTATGTTTCTTAACGTGTTCTCACTTTCCTTTGGGGATGTCTTTAATAATACCTAAAATTCAGTGAACAGAAATGCTTTTTAATAGTTTGCCTACCAAGTAAAAGTTGTGGGACACGTCATCGCATGCGTGTACACATAGGCTTGAGGTGCGGCCGTACAACTTCGCGTACTGATTGAGGACAAGAGCACGCAGCCAATAGCAGCTCAATGACCCTCACTTGTTTTACCAAATCCGCCATGTTGTATGACTGAGTTTCCTTCCTGTATACACTTCTTGCGTGGTTTATCTACTGATTAAACGTGCTCCGTGCTAAACGTCTGTTTCCTTCATAGCTGGGCTATAGCTTAGCTGGTTCTGGGAGTCTAGCTAGATGTTGGAGAATTTGCCATAGAGATTTCTGAGTCAGTCAGGCTTTACTAAGGTAGCAATCCGCTACAAAGTAAATTCTCCAATTTATTTTCTGTAATGATGACCTTGGACTGGACCTGAATTCAAATATCGGTTTTTAAATTTGCAAAATTCTTTTTGTTTTTGTTTATGAAATTAAAAGCCGTAGTGTGTCCCAACTGTTGTTTAATGCATTCCTGAGTGCTGTTGAGCGCGTTCAGGTTCCCTCTATTTTTCGAAAGTCGCAATACTTTTAACTTGCTTTTGGCTACAATAGTACCCTGAAAAGTTTATTTATTTATATCAAATGGCAAGCGTTTTGTTGGTTATCATTAGCCCTTAGTCGAGAGGGGGTGGGGGAACAGAAGTGTTTCAAAGATAAAGATAGAAAAAAAGGTGAGGTGAGTACTGTGAAAGTAGTCGAATATGCATACAGTGGGGTGATGGTAGCTTGAAGTGAGAAGTCAATTGTCGAATAATAGACTTTTTGCCGTATGAGTATACGTTGCCCAGGGTGCACCACATGGAGGTAAGTCTATCGCACACCCGTACCCTGAAAAGTTTAATCAATCATATTTGTGGCGTTCTAATTTTAGTAGCTAGTCAATTTGTGCTAAAATTGAAGAGAAACGTTTTTTGACCAATTTAAAAGCAAAATGTAGACTATAATTGAGTTGAGTATCGTTGCTATAAAAGGATTACATTTATTCACAATATGGCAGATTCACTTTTGTAAAAACAGAATGATTACTTGAATCATTAAGTGAAAATGTAAAATGAACCGTGAACTGACTTAAAAAATGTTAGGGAGTAATGAATTGCTTGAGTTCACTTAGACTGTATAAAAGGAACGTATTTCTTTGTTTATAGTGTGTTGTTCAAGCAAATTGTAGCATTCATTTCAACTCTGAATTTACTCTCTAACGAGAAATGGAGATTTGGTTTAACAATATAACTTTTCAGACCATTTTAAGGATAAGTGTCAAAACTCATCTTGTGCTAGAGAGTGGTCGAATGGATCCTCTCCGGAGAAAGACTGGAGTTTCACAACTCCTGCCGTTTAATAGCTAGGCTTAAGCAATGCCGATCTGATTATGTTCAGCTAGTTTACCTTTAAGCATAGCAAATATATGACTTTTGAAATCCAATTTAGTTTATTATTCTGTAAATTGAAACGTTTCGGCATCAACCTTGGTCTGCTACCTCCATCTTCTCTTGCTTATAGCTTATTAAGGCAACTCGAGGTGGCATGATCCATCACAGAATTGATTTAGTTGTTCAACAAACTCTAAAAGTGCTAAAAAAACTCTCCTTGATCTGGATCTAAGACTCAAATAACTAGGCATTCCTTAAAATACTATATTGCCTACAAGAAAGTGGAAAACTCCATTCAGCCTACAGGTTCTAAAGAAGACTCAAAACTAGTATTTCGTCACTAACTTCATTTGATCTACTTTGACCTTTCAAGCCTTATTTGTCACTTTTAAAGTTATAGTTAAACAAATAATTTCTCGTACTGAAAATCTCCGAAGGTTTGATTTTGCTATGAGTTGTGAAAATAAGCATTCCTATTGTCCGTAGTTAACGCAGTAGCGTTTTAGCATCTAAGTCATATTAGAGGTGGGGGGATCGAATCTTATTGGCCTACCCCTAGTGGTTACATGAGTAACCGCACTGGTTGAGCCTGACTAGTGTATGTTGACGAAATTCGAACCCCATAACAGAGAGTCTCCATGAAGCAATCCTCTCGCCGAGGCAAACGTTGGAAAACACCATGGTACGAGGGCATGGAAATGAAATTAAAGAATCTTGAAAGAGGCAGCTGAAGGTGACTAAAATAAATTGCGCCTGGAACCAAAATGGTGGATTGGAATCGTTAAGCTACTTTGACGGCACTGCAACGTTGAAGTCTGACTTTGGACACCACTGAGGGACAGCTCGGGTTCCCCTATTCTAAAACTCTTATGGGTAACAATTAAAAGTGTAAGGAGCCATTTTTATCCAATTCACTAGTGGAGCTAATCCAGATTCCTGAATAAATTTCATTATTAGCATTGCGTGAAGTATAATAACTTCTGCTGTATCAGTTTGCTCTAATCTAAATTATTTGTGCAATGATGGAAGGCTTTGCGATTGAAACCTGAAAAGCCTTGGAGTTGTATGACTAACCTCAATTCACTTATTTATAAATTATCCTGTATTTTTGGATCAACCCCTCTACTTTAATGGTTCATAATATTATTATTAAATAGTCACTAACTACCACATGAACAACTGATAAAAAACTCCAAAATTTGATCATGTGTTCCTTCTGTTCCATTTTTTATCCTTTTAAAATTTTGCTCTGATTTACTGTTCCAAATGTCAATTCTTTCCCCCCAACAGGCTAGCTCGTGATTGCACCTTGATATTTATGAAACTATAATTGCATAAAGGCTAGTAATAATGAACCAACTATTGTGTTGGCAACTAAGTCATTGCCGTTTTTGTTGACGGATTCACTCTATACTTTCTTTTGTTTTGTTAACGTGGCCAGAGCATCTAACCTATATTTTTATCTTACTGTATGGGCTTCTAGGTTAATTAGTAAAAAATTGTTTTGTTTAGTTCTTTAGTTTTGTTTTTATCCCAATTGAAAAATGAAAGAACGGGACGTGCGCTTCCGACACATTTTATTGTATTGCTTCCGAAAAGGCAAGAACGCATCGCAAGTACTAAAGAAGTTATGTGCCGTATATGGAGATGAAGCCTTAAAAGAAAGGCAGTGTCGAAATTGGTTTGCAAGATTTCGTTCCGGTGATTTTTCACTGAAAAATTCACAACGATCTGGCTGCCCAGTCGAAGTGGATGAAACCCATATCAAGGCCATTATCGATTCAAATCGTCACAGCACAACACGAGATATTGCAGAGAAGCTCAATGTGTCGCATACATGCATTGAAAAAAAAATTAAAAACCCTTGGTTATGTCAAGAAACTTGATTTATGGGTCCCTCACCAGTTAAAGGAAATTCATTTGACGCAACGGATTAGCATCTGTGATTCGCCGCTACTGAAACGTAATGAGAATGATCCATTTCTGAAGAACCTAATTACTGGCGACGAAAAGTGGATAGTTTATAACAATGTTACTCGCAAGAGACCATGGGTGAAGCAAGTTCAACCAGCCCAAACAGTATCAAAAGCAGCAGAGATTCACCAAAAAAGATTATGCTGTCAGTTTGGTGGGGGGATCACAAAGGAATTTTGTATTTTGAACTCATGCCGCAGAACCAAACGATAAATTCAAATGTGTATGTTGAACAACTGGAAAAACTGAAAGAAGGATGCAATTGAAGATAAGCGGCCGGCATTATCAAATCGGCGGAAGGGTGTTGTTTTTCATCATGATAACGCAAGGCCCCACACATCTTTGGTTACTCGGCAAAAATTATTGGAACTGGGTTGGGATGTTTTGTCACGCCCACCATATAGCCCTCACCTTGCGCCTTCGGATTACCATTTGTTTCGTTCCATGCAAAACTCTTTAAATGGTAAAATTTGTAACAACGCGGATGATGTCGGATCACACCTAATTCAGTTTTTTAATAGCAAAGACGAGACATTTTACGAACGGGGAATTTTTACTCTGCCAGAACGATGGAAAAAAGGTCATCGACAAGAGCGGCCAATATCTAATTGAATAAAGTTATATTTTTAAACAAAAATTCCGAATTTGCCTTCTTATTTGAAATCGGCTATGACTTAGTTGCCAACCTAATAGAAATGGAGGGCGTCTATTAATTACTATTTGTTTGGAATAGTGTAAGACAAACAATTAACTTACTTATGATAATATGAAAATGTAGGATTTTGCGTTAAGTGAACTTAATTATGTCAAAATCTGCATTTGGTAGTAAAATTTACTTTTAAGAAGGTATGAAATATGATGAGGTCGAATGCATACAGACCTTTAAGGATTAGAGCATGAAATGTAACTATTGAACACGTGCTTCCAGAACTCCAAACCGATAAAGTTTCCGACATTCTGACTTATTTATATTAGAAATTTTGATACGCCTCCTCCCCACTCCACTCCATTAAATTAGTAAGTTCGTTGAGAAGTTAAATTTGTGGGACACGTCATCGCTTAACGCGTCATCGCATGCCTGCAAGCCAGGATTGGGAGGTGCGACCTTACAAACAGTGACCAATCATAAACCTCTGTTTGTGCTACCGTACAAACAGTGATCAATCATTAACCTCTGTTTGTTTCCGTAAAAACAGTGACCAATCATAAACCTCTGTTTGTTTAACCTAATCCGCCATCCAGATCATGATTAGGCTCCCTGCGTGTACACTTTATTATCCCCAATATACGTACTGAATAAACGTGCTCTGTGCTACACGTCTGTTTCCTTTATAGCTGGACTATAGCTTAGTTTGTTCTGGGAGTCTAGCTAGATGTAGGAGAATCTGCCACAGAGATTCCTGAGTTAGTCAGGCTTTACTAGCGTAGCAAACCGCTACAAATTACTTGGTTATTTAACCATACATTTTCCAATTATTTGCACCCCTATAGACACGAGCAGATAAATTAATCCAAAACAATGTCATTGTGCATGTCTCAGCGCGTCATATGTTTTCTCATAGTGTTTCTTAATTTAATTATAACTAGCTTCGTTTAAGTGCCAATTCATTTAATTTAAAGTACTCATTCACTCTCTTTATCTATTAATTAAATTGTCTTTTTCTTCTCATCATCAATAATTGTTCTTGTCGTTGTTTTCATCTATACTAATGCATGAAATCGCAGAATTACTAGTTCTTAATAAGATTTATGAACTTAATGCAAGACGATGACCTGTTAATGTGCTCTAAATATTAGATAATTAAGTCAGTCTACATCACGCTAGTACCTCCGTGAGAACGCATTACTTTATATAAATGCCTATTTAAAAAAATCTGGCATCTCAGATTCCATGAATAGGCGTCATTCCTACAGCTTCCTCACATTCTTAGCGGCTGCCTTCTTCTTCCAGGCAGTGGGGTTGAATGGATGGAATTGTTTTGGACATGCCTTCAGTTATAACTGCACCACGGCTCCAAAAGTCCTCACGACTGGCATCATCTTAGCACTTGCCGGAGGCGCTGCTACAATCGGTGGAATTCTCCTATTCGCCGTAATGGCGACGAATAGTCGCGGGGCCTTTGTTACTGCGCCATGTTTTTACGTTATTGCAACAGCTTTGAGCATTAGCGCCGTTGTATACTATTATTGGGAAGTCCAACTATATTCGCCAATCTTTGCGATTTGCGGCATGTCTATAATAACGGCACTCTCTTTTATTCTTATTATTGATTACGTCGCTGGCACTTTCTAATAAATGATGAGACAGTAAGCAATGTTGCACTTTTACTTAATTGGTATGGAATAGTTATAATGGAACAAAGTCGAGTCTCTTTGCATTGTTTCAGTGGTTATGGAGGTAGGCAACAAAACATTGGCCCGGGCAACTTTGTAGTTTGTACACTAAAAAAGCATTTTTATAAATTGTAGGATCTGTTCATACTTGCCATTTATGACACATCAAGTTGCTTAAATCTCGAAACTGTGCTAGTTAAATTCATTTCTACAATTAATAAATCTTTAAAACTTAGTGAAGACGGAGCCTCCTTGTGTGGGACACTTCATCAATGACCAGTAGAAATCCTGCTTACTCAGAGATATTTAGCTATTAATGTTCACTCGAATTATGCTAGATTTATCTGATAACTAATCGTTTTGTCAAAATCACAATTCGCTATCAATATACCTACTGAATAAACGTATTCCGTGCTACACGTCGGTTTCCCTTATAGCTGGGCTATAGCTTAGCTTGTTCTGGGAGTCTAGCTAGATGTTGGAGAATCTGCCAAAGAGATTTCTGAGTCGGTCAGGCTTTACTAGCGTAGCAATCCGCTACACTTGTACGCGCAAAAGTTTTTATTATAATATGAAGGATCTATGAACAAAGAACATGGGAATAGCAAACGTAGAGAAAAAACATAATATAGTTTATTTTGGGCAAATGACGATATTTTTAATGCTTAATTATAATACAAAAGCATTTATTAAGGTTTGAAAGCAAAACCTTGTTGAGAACCATTCATGAAAGCAGGGAGTAACACTAGAGACCTTGAATGAGTACAGATAGTGGTGTTCAAGACTCCGATCAAGATACTATTGAAATTAAGTTAGCTACCTTGCGTCGAGTTGGAAGTGCTTTCTGACATATTGAGCTGCTGAACCAGTATTGCTAATGGTGAACAGCGTCTTCTGTACTCCTTAGGTGATGAACTAACCTTTGGGCCACCTTCAAATCCATAACATCGTAGTTATTCAGACAAAATGGTAGCTATTTCATATTATTTGTACTGTTTGGAAATCTTTGTTCATATTTCCACTTTACATAAAGTAAATGGGTCGTCTCTACTCTGATATTTATTTATTTCAAATGGCAGGCGTTTTGATGGTTATCATTAGCCCTTTAGCTGACTTCGGGTTTCACAGGGGGAAGGAACATCAAAGTAACAGAAAGTCGAGGTGTGGGGAACAGAAGAGTGATTTAGAGATGTAAAGAGACAGACATGAAGGCAGAGAAAAGGTAGGATAAGTACTGCGCCAGAAGTCAATCGCCAGTTAATAGACTTTTTTGCCGTATGAGTATACGTTGCCCAGGGTGCACCACGTGGAGGTAAGTCTATCACGCACCCCCTACTCTGATATTGATTTGCCTGTTCTTTAAAATGGTATTCGAAAAGAAGTTTGATACTATGTTACCCATGAAGTGGTGCTGTCATTCATTAATTTTTTAAACCATCAAAATAGCCTGAAAAGATGTTATTTTATAGGCGAACAGTCAGTTCTGTATTTTATTAGTTCAATTCCACACACACAAACACGCAAGTGCACATATATTTGAGAAAATGTTAAAATATTGAAGATAGCATTATAAGCTACATATGGCAGGTAATTTTAGATTTAAGCTAAATGAATGGTGCTTTTTAGTTAAAATTTCTATAACTATAACTTAAGCCAGTTATAAGTTGTCATTTAATGAGAATGATTCATATTTGGTGGGTGCTACGCAAATGAATCATGAGCAGACCTCATAAATGTACATGACAAAATTCCCTCGTATAAAATTTTACTGAAATTATCTAAGCTTACGCAACAATATCTATGATAAGAGCGTATTGTGTAAATGGCGTTCATTCTCTTTGCCTTTCACTAAATGCAATTCTGTGTCATTAAAGGTACTCTTCATGTTGGAAGAGAAGTCTCTGCAATCACGATGCACTTGCTCTCTACCGCATCAATAGCACTGCCTCACCTTTGAGGCAGTTTCAGCGCGCATAAGATGTCTTTGTAAGCCTTGATAATTTTGTGCACCGCACACCCACACGCACACGCACATAATTTGAAGTATCCAAGTGAACTATTGAAAATTCATGGCCCAATAAGTTGTCTCATATTATGACTGGCAGATTTGTTTTAATTCGATTTAATCCTACCATTAGTAATTAAATTTGCTTAAATCTGTCAATTCCAGAGAATAGTCATTCATGGCATTGAAATCCATGGGAATAAAATTTGCTAGATTTATGGCTCAACCTCATTTAAACATTTTACTTATTTTCTTCTAAAATTGATGCAATCATTTGAAAAGAACTATTATAGGAGGAAATGCTGGTCTATTAAAGCATCAGTTTAATAAACAGTTTTTGAAATTTGAGCACATCTTACTCGGGCTACTTACTTTACTGTGAATTTTAGAATCGGAGTTGGGTAAATGTTCATCAGGTTTAGAAGCTTAACCTTTAAACGCAATAAACTACTTCCAAAGTCAAAAACTGAAATCAAAATATTCGCTAAACTCGTACCAGTTATGACCTTTTCGCAGATGCGCCTTTGTTTAGAGATGACGCAGTTAGTCTTCATGGTGAAAAAACGATTAAATAATCAGGGGCACGTTCCAATTCACGTGAATGGGGATGAAGACTTCATTATTGCACTAGGAGAAGGAAGAAAGATTATCAAAAATCAGCGAACAAACGCAGTCGAGGTCTAAGGTTGACCATGATAATAGCACTGCGGTATTAATGTGCCGTTAGTAAAGTACACACCATTTATTGAGCATAAAGTGCATGTGATGTGTAAAATAATGTAAATATGGAAGAAGAGGCATATAAACCCTTAAATGAGGCAACTTAATGTCCTCATATCTTCAAAAAGAATGATTATGACCCTTAACAATGTAATCTGATGCAGTTAATGGCAACTACGAGCTTCCTGTTCAACCTCCTCTTCGGACATTCCGTGCGTAGACATCTGCTTCACCATTGGATTTTATGCTGGATCTCAGTATTTCACACTCCCCATGATTAAGAATGGCAGGCTTTTAGTGCTCGTCAATGAAATAAATCCCCAGGTACGATATTAAATACCAGAATTAACCTTCAATTCATGACTGAGGAGAGAGAATTATATTATAGAAGCCAAATGTTTTAATTGTGAAAAGCGTTTTAACACAAATGACATTAAAATAATTTAAAAAAGAACCTGGGGAGATCAAGGACGATGAATTAGTCATTGTGTCTGAGTACTAAAGTCAATAAGATGTGCAAGTTATAATTTTCTGATTTTTTAGTATTGTTTTGCTCTTGTGAATAATAAAATTCCAAGTATCCCACGATTTCACTATTCAAATGAATCAAGAAGACGAATCACAACTTTTTCAAGAAGTTTTTACAATGAGTCATTGGTAATGAATTAACGTGCACACATTTTAGTAGGGGAATCTGAGAAGTTTTATGTGCAAAATTTGATACTAAGGTTTCACCTGTGTCGAATTCGCTTATAACAGCTAAAACACCTCTAGATTAGATTTATTTATTTCAAATGGCAGGCTTTATGATATTTATCATTAGCCCTTAATCTTTGACTTCAGCTTCCCCCAAGAGGGGGGGGGGGTACATTTATAGCAGTTAATTAGCAGTCTTCTTTCTTCCCAGTATCTTTGGCTTTCCGTCCTTGTCTTTAGAGCTGGACACCGAATCAGGTGGGTCTTCTTCATTTCCTCATGTAGGTTACATAGAGGGCATGTGGGTTGAGTGTATACTCCCAATCTGTGAAGGTGTTTTGCCAAGCAATCGTGTCCGGTACGTAGTCTAAACTCAGCAACGGCTTCGATTCTTGGCCAGTCGGGTATGTCGGAGAGTGCCACTGTCCACTGTTTC